TCCCGATGGATTCCGGCGGTCACGTCCTTGGCGACGGTGACCGAGGTCCAGGTGTCTCCGGGCTCGAGCTTTGAGGCTGCGAAGGCGTTCAAGTAACGGCTCAGGTTCGGCCGCTCAATCGTCACCTTGGTGATGCCCTGCATGCCGCCGTGAGTGAAGAGCCCGAAGGTGAAGTAGGCGTGGCGGTTGTTGCCGTCGGCCCGAAACGGATCACCTCGATCGTTTCGGCGGGGTTTGAGCTCGGATTGTTCGAGGACATCCTGGAGGGTCGCGAAGCTGAAGTCGGCTCGCCCAAGAGCTACTTTGGCGAGCCGTTCTCCATGAGGAAGATCTCCGCAATCCCTTTCAGCATTCTCGGTGGCGAAAACGTGGTGCTTGTCGTGGAGGGCCTTTGCAAGGTCGCCGTCGACGATAAAGTCTTCAAAAACAACGGCAGCCCCGCAACATCCCTCGTGCGGAACCTTGTCCGCGCGGCCATCGATACTCAGTCCCGGCTTCCCCGCGGCCTCGCTTTGTCCTTCAAGACTGCCAGGCGTAGCTCGAGCTTCTTGATCTCCTCGGCGGTCTCCTCGTCCATCTCGTCCTCCATGAGGTCCTTGGTCTCCTTGGGGGACTGCCGCTTCGAACTCGATGGAGTAGCCTGGGGCGCCACCGGGAGCTGTTGCTCCGGACTCGGAGGCGGCTGTGCTCCTGGCCACGCAGTCTCCCAGGCGTGACTCTGGGGACTCGAAGTTTTGGGGTCCCAAGCGGTCTCCCAAACATGGCTCGGCACCGTTGCCCATGATCCCGTGTCCGAGGAGGTCGTCGGCGGCATCGCTCGTCGGCTCGTCTCGTCCTTGCTCTCCATGTAGCCGCGCTTCTTCTCCTCGTTCCTGTCCCACCATTGCGCGTAGCGGACGAGGTCGGGATCGGCATTGCGAGAGTTCTTCACCTCGTTGCTCGCCCATCTCCCGTACTGCCACGGGACTTCTCGGAACTCCATTCCCCTGTGCTTTCCAATCTTCATCAGCTCGTTGTCCGGGGTGTTGATGGAGTCCCTCACAAGACGTAGCAAATTTCCCTTCGTCACACGGTCCGGGAAATCGACATCCAGTTCTCTGGCCTTCACCTTCAACTCGTCCATGTTGAGATGGGAGAGGCGCTTCATCCGCTCGCTCGCGTCCTGGGCCTTCTGGGACTCCCTGTGCTCCATGATCACCGCCTTGATCTCTTCCGGGCTCCACGACTGGTGTACAACCAGTCCGAGGCGCACACACTCGCTGAGGAGCTGCGGCTTCGTCATCTTGCTGATTGCCGTAGGCGGAGTGCATGGTGCGCTGTCCATCGGAGGCGCGGAGCGGAATGTCTGAGGGCGGGTGCTCTTTGCTCAACACTGTCCTTCCGACCCACAACAGCGGCATGGGAGAGGTGCACGAAGTCTTGTCTCTCCATGTATCGGAGACGCTTTCAAGCCATCGTTCAGAACTGCAACACACAGCTTCCGTGCACCTGCAACTGCCAAGCGTAGACAACAGCATGCCCTTTAGCAAAGAAGACGAAGTGTTCCACAAGCCTGGACTAAACAATGCTCTCCTTGGTGTAACATGAACTCTGATCCACGTACTCTCTGTCTCTATCCAGAAATCACCTCCGACCTCACACTGCTTCCACCAGGACATGAACGAATCACGGCAAAGATGAGTTGAGGTGAGCATGACCTTAGCTTCTGGGGAAAGTTTCTTCTCATAGTACAGGTTGTAGAGGTTGTGGGACTTAACACCGGCATACGCAACTGCATGGACCGTGTATTGCACGCGGGGCTCCAAGCTCACATCTTCGACTGGCAGCACTGAGTTGAATCCATTGGCCGGTTTCGCAGGCACAATGGGAATGGCTGGGTGCCCCGATGCAGTGGAGAGCAACTTGAAGTTCGTCAATCCAACCTGCGTGAAATCTGCACATCCAACAGAGACATCGTAGATCATCCCCATTTTGGCAAGAACCGTCTTCGACAGCAACAAGGGAACATCACCCGGTATGATCGAAGCCCGAAGCTGCACAACCTTATCACCGAGAGAGAAGGAGAGGATCACACTGAACGACGAATAGTGGATGCGACCCGTCCCGAACTTATAGGCTTCACACTCCTTCGAGAGCTCGGGCTGGGCACCGTCCTCGCCGATGCGATCCATGTACTCCTGCAGCCACTGAGTTCCTGCGACCGTTCGGGAGCAGGCAGTGTCCGTAATGCCCAAGAGAAGCCCGCTGACATGCTTCACCGTCATGACCTCAGCTGGCATGGTGACGCACACCTCGCGGGGAGGAGTGGCGGTCTTACCGCCGGAGCCACCGCCACCGTTGGCGTTGTTGGGACATTCTTCATCTTTGTGCCAATGTCCTCTTCTCCCGCACCCAGAACAGAAGGACCTGGCTTTGATCTGCTTCAACTTGTCCTCGCGGACCTTCGCGCTGTTCGTCGCCGGGTCACTCGGCTTGTTGCCCGCTCGTCCGCCATCGCCGGCTCCGACGTCTCCTCGAAATCCACGTGCCTTGCTGTGCTCCTTGTACTTATTCTTCGCCGACTGGTAGGTGACATATGCAACAGCGACCTCCTCTGGCATAACCTCATCATCCTCAGGGGCTTCGCGCTCCGAGTCCTCGTCATCGGGGTTGTCGGTCACGTGGGCGGTGTATGGTTTCCGCCCGCCTTTGCCAGCAGAGGACTCCCAAGGCTTCCGTAGTCCCCGGTCCTGGATGATGGCGGCCTTCTGGAGCTTGCACAACGAGTAGACGTTCCCAACACTCGCCAGAAGGTTCAACTCAGCACCGTCTTCTAACTGCAGTCTGTCTACATATAGCCAAGCAGCGCATTCTTCAGGCAACATGCATCCGACTTCTTTCAACCTGGCATACAAGCGGTCATATTCGGCATTGTAGTCTCGTATCGACTGCCCAGGTTTTCGGCGCAGCTTCCTGAACATCTCCGACAAGGCCTTCCCGATTCGCGTGACTTCCAGGTCGAGGTACCTGTTGCGAAGCCAACTCATCAGGTAGTGGACCCCGTCGTCGCGACTCAAGGCGTCGACATTCAGCTCTTCCGCCGCAACCCAGGCTTTTCCAGTTAAGTGACGATACAACACCAATCCTTGTTGGCCTGGAGGTAGATAGGTCAAGCGCCGCCAAGCTTCAACTTGTCGTAGGTAGGACCGGGCAGAGGTCCCAACGTCTTCGTCATCTCCACCCCCAAAAGTAGGCACTGACAGCTTCTCGGAAGGCCTTTGATTCCCTCCTTTGGTGCCGTTGACCTCGTTGGTGCCATGCTGCGAACCGTCGTCGCCTTGGGAGAAGTGGCGCCAGCCACTCCACACGGGATCCCCTTTGCTGCCACCGCCCGAGGTGTGGAGGCGGAAATTACGATCATCTGCCGGTGAATCGTGCCATCCATGGAGTCGGGCTCGACCATCCGCCCAGGGATCGCGCCAAACTCCTTCATAATCGCCTCGGCCGGCTCGGTAGTCGTACTCGCCCTCGCCGTACTCGTACTGGTCGTCATAGCCATGGCCCGTTCCCCACGAGCCGCCGTGACGCGACGATGCGTCTGTGCTGTAGGCATCCCAAGATGTAGCCCAACTCGCTCTTCGCTCATGGTCGCCGGTGTGGCGGGTTCTATTCCAGGACCAGTCTCCCCAACTAGCGCCGGATTCCCACCACCCGTCATCGTTCGAGTGGTCGTAGTGATCCCACTCATCACCCACTGGTAGGTGTCGCTCACTACCAACGGACACCCCTTGGTCAGAGGCGGCTGGTTCATCATCGCCTTCAACAGCCGGCGGAGGATCGCCGGAGACTTGCGGACCGCCCGACATTGCAACAGCAAGAGCTACGAGCTAACAGGAGCGCACTAGGCTCCGCTACCAATTTGAAACTACAGCCTAACCTACCAAAAAAACACAGCACCGCCGGTCCCGCCTGTGCGAGAACCTTTTCGCTCGGACCAAAAGCCTTCGCGGATGCGATCTGTTCGACCTGACAAGAGAGGCTCAGGGGGTTTCCAGGTGAATGCCCTTACGATTGTTGAATGACAAATCATCACTGCACCAATAATATTGCGTCCCGATCACAGTACTCACACAGGGCTTCACACTTACCCTCCGACGTCCGCAAAGAAGTGATGGAGGAGCTCCAGCCGAAGCCTGTGCCCAAGAACGCAAAAAAACGGTCGCCACCGACATCGCAGGAAGCTGCGCCGAGACCCTCTCAGAAGAGAATGCAACGGCCTGCTGCAGCCATGTGACCACGATCCGCTCACTGGGCATGGTCCTACAGTCCACTTTTGGCCGCGTGCCTGCAAGCTGCCCGTGCAAGGACGAATAACACCTTGCTCGTGATTCGCTTGCTCCCGAGGTATCTTCTGACCACGACCCTCACGAGGGCACGGTCCTTCTGTCTGCAACTTGGATTCGGACGGAGCTGCTCCTCAAACTCACCACTCTCGCTTCTCACTCCTCCTCACTCTCCTCACCCTCCTCATTTTCCTCATCCCTCAAACTCACCAGTCGCCCTTCTCACCTTCTTCACTCCTTACCCTCGTCACTCTCCAAACTCTCGCCCCTCATTCTTCTCGTTCTCCCCATTCTCGCTTTTCAGGTATACGACCACGCCGACCACGACCCCAAGGGCACGATCTACAACTTCTCCTTCTTCATCTTTTCACTGCATGGTTTGCGGTAGGCATGCAGAGATAGTGTCTTCACATTCATGGTGTATCTACGCCATACCTACAGCAAGCCTTTTTTGCAGTGCGTTTGACTCGTGTTGAACGTAGCTGTACAGCCCATGCAACTTCACGCACTCTCTTGAGACATGGAGTTGCTACGAACACACAATCGGCTACGCGAAGTGAAAAAGCTGGCACAATGTGTGTGCAAGCTTCCTCTGGTAAGTCATCAGCCTCGCCAGAGTGCCTACCAACCGAAGCCCCCGACAGCTTTTACCTACACTTGTCTTTGCTCCTCGTCCAGGCTACCGCTGGAAGCCAGAAGCAGGCAGTAGAGGGAGTGCATAGAATAGAGAGTGTAAGTGGAGCACCTATACTAATTCCTTCACAAATGACATTCCTGAAAGCGGATCAGGTTGGAGAGCCTGGAGGCCGTTTGCAGCCAGGCTGGGGCCGGATTGCCCGAGCACCATGCGGACACTCCCTGTCCGCAAACAAGCCTGCAAGGCGCACCACGATGCCCTCCACAATGCGAGGAAGCCCGGTACCTATGCCATTATGGAAGAGGCCAGGGTATTCGAACACGTAGGGGCAGGGATTGGGTCATGGGATCAACAACAGAGGACGGGGAACTCGAGTTCAAGAAGAATTCAGCCTCAGCGCTCAAACCAATTCGAGAAGTTGCTAGGAGCAGCGGCGGCAGACCCCACTGATGGCCGTGCCGCTGGTGATGACACACCCGGTCACCGGGCGGAAGTCTCTATATGGACTGTTTGGGAGCTTGCATGACTGGAACCTCCACAGTTCCACGGGGCACCAAGATGTGGCAGGAGCCAACAGCAGCGTGTTCCATGTGCAGCGACGCGGTGCTGGCGGACCTTCTGCAGCTCTGCTGGAGAGGGCAGAGGGCGCAGAGGCCGGACAAGAGCGAATCAGCTGTTCTTACTGACTCCTGCTACCTGCCAGGCATACGAAGACCCTTCTGTTGAGGAGCTCCGGAAGTGGTTGCCCCATGCCACAGGACCTTCGGAACAGTGTGTCGAGGGATTGCTGCACGTGGTCACGGGTGCAACAGCCAGGTCAAGTGGTTGTTTGTTTTGGAGCCAGATCTGCCCTGGAGGACCCGAGTTTGTGGTGAGATGGCGCTGGCAACCCGGAGACCTCGTGATCTGGGACAACCGCAGCACGATGCACTGTGCAACAGGCAAGTCCCAGATCTTGCGATGTGTTACGAAGAACGTGCCATGCAGCCGAGCAAACGTCACGCAACTGTGTGAGGCTTTGATCATGAGTGTTACACCCGCCAGCTGTGGCGAACGACCTTTCACGACATGTCTTGGGACCCGCCAGTGAAGCGGCTTGCTCGCGACCCTGCAAGCTGACACAAAATCGAGCTCTCGCGTCGGCACCACTCTGGCAGAGAATCGGTCCCCTTTTCCGGCGCTTCGCCCGAGGTCCAACGGCACCTTGTTGGAGGAGCTTTGAATCTTTTGGCACTTCGTCTTTTCGTGTTGTTTCCTTTGGATGGTGAAACAGATCGCGAGATCGTGGTGCAGGAGGGGATGCTGCGCATGGGCTTCGGCTCGCAGCCATCTCCCCTCATGTGGCTGGGCTCAGATTGGAAGTTCAGTGCTTGCAGGTAGTTTAGCTTCAGTGCGGAAGCATGTGTGATCCTCTTTGCCGAGGTCTGTCCATGCGAACTCTATCTCGCTGTCCCTGATGCCGAAGGATCCCTGCCTGTCGACATGTTCCGTGTTGCTGCCAAGAACATCCAAGAAGCACACTACCAGCTTGCTGCCCTGCAAGTCTGAGTCCTCAAGCTCGACTCACTTTCAGTCTGATGCCTGCAAGCTGAGAGTCAGGACCTACAGCGCGGATTTGGGCCTTTGCAGGCTAGGAACCGATGGTTGCCAGGCTTTCCACACCGCGGGAAAAGAATCCACCTGTAACCAAGATGACTAGTCCGAACAGCTCGCTCGTGAAGGTGAGAGTCTATCTGCAAACTTGTCTGGCAGGCATCTAGTGCAGGAGGGAATCATTTACCCAGAAGCCAGTTGCTAGTTCAAAAACGTAACGATTCAAGGGTCCACAGCATGGAATTTGCTTCCATATGCTTCATGTGCCTGTCTTTCTTTAGGCAGGGGTATGAAGAAACCCATCGAAAATGCTCCCTTGTGCAGTCCCAACTGCTCTTTGCGGGTCTCGAGCTGGGCGGCGCCGGCAGGCCATGGGGCCCTCATTCAGAGTGCGCATGCAGTGCACATGGGTCAGCAAGGGTCACCAACAGAAAGTGCCGCCACGCTGCGTTTTCGATGCCTCGTGTGTGAGTCTGGCAGAGTGATCTGCGTGCTTTGGTATGCGAGCTGTACTTCATCAAGACGTGGCCGTGCTGTAGTCCTAGCTTAAAACATTCTCCTCACGACATTGGGCAGAAGAGGCTAAGCTGAGAGTCGTAATTGCATCATTAACAGAGATAATGATGCGCCAAGCCCCTTGTGTCGCACCTTGCACCCCGAAGCAAAAGGCTGCATGCAAGTCTAGCCCACGGCTCGATTGAATGCCGCGATGGTGAGAATCCTGCTGTGCGGCGATGTCCGTGGCGACCTGCCGAAGGTGTGTCGCTCGCCTTGGTCATGTCTTCTAAGATCGCCTCATCCAAGGTCGAGGCAAGCAGGAGATGTTGGTCCATGAGCGCTGCAGCTGAGGCAAATGCGTGGATGCTTTGCAGCGAAAGCTCCCCGAGGTGCGCTGTGGCGAGTATCAGCGCTTTGTAAGTGCTTGACCCCTTGTAGCGCGCTTGTGCCCTTTGCCTGGATTGAATGACAGGCCAGCAGAACTTGCACCTAAAGCTCGCGGAATTCAGGGTTGCACCCATGCCTCACCCATCATCCTTTGTCCATTCATGCTTTCAGGGTTTTGGTATCCAGCCATCCTGCCTGTCGGGGTTCAAGCGTGCTAGCTATGAGGTAATCTAGCATGCTTTCTACAGGGAAGAAGGCTTGGTGCGAGTGGGTACGATCGGTGTCAGATCTCAGTTGATCCAAAGTTAGAACCAGTTGATCCAATCTCATGTATGAAGTAGGATCGATTCAATGCTAAGCTGCATGCCGAACACAAGATGGTCGTGAGACTGTACAGAAATGAGACTGTTCGCTCTAACATGTTACCAGCCATTGCTGATTTTTAGGTTTAGGGTTTAAGCCTCGGCAGCTGCCACGCATAGGTTCCTGGCTTCGGAGTTGCACTTTGAACCTCTCTTCCTTTTCAGGATTCGATTTTGAAGTGTCCGCATCTCCTCTCGCTGGTCCGCCTTGCAACTCGCCCTCCCCGCTGTCCCCCGAAAAGCTAAGCAGACTGTCATCTGGGAGGGTGTCAATAGGCGAGGGCGAGGCCGGCCTTTCTGAGTTTCGGCACAACCAGGTTCGGGGTCATCATGCAACAGGTTTGCCAGCGGCGTGCTCGGTAATCGGGGGGGTGGACACGGTCAGTGTGTTTTGCAGCAGGAGCAGCGATTTCGTGCCGTCTTCTGCGTGGGTGAGTTCAGTGCCGAGGACTGGCAGCATTGCCTCACACGAAAACCTTAGTTACTTGCTACCAAGGCTTGCCGACTTGCAAGACTTATGTCAGGAGACGTCTGCCAAAATGGCTCTGCCATTTTGGCCCAAGATCGTGGACCGTGGGTCCTTCAAAATTTGTTATCGCTCCCGCTTTCTCCCTTGCGACTGTCGACCATGGCACTCACCCCCGTTGCTAATGTCGATGACGTCCTTGCCTCCAGCATGGAGACGGTTGAGAGTTTGGTCCCCCCTCGCGACACAGGGGACAGCGATCCGGAATGGGAGAAGCCTGATGACGACGTTGCCTTGGCCCGTGCTACCTTGGCACACAATGTCCATGCCCACGAGGACGAGACCGCAAACACGGCCCTGGCTTCCTTCACGGCTCTGGAGGTGGATGACACCAGCATGGCCCTTCGGCTCCAGGAAATGGAAGCGGCCATGTCCCGCCTCCTGGCGAAGGGTGACGAGATGGTGGCCGTCACTGGACAGGAGGTGCCAACCACAGGTGACTTTGTCCCTGAGGAAGGTGCTCCTGATGATCCCATGGGAAGCGAGGATGGACCAACCACAGGTGACTTTGTCCCTGAGGGAGGCCAGTCTGATGCCACCAAGGACAAGGCGGCCAGAACCAGACCTTACTCTGCCCTACCCGCCGGCACCCTGGAGGAGAAGGTCTTCCACATCGAGGGCTTCCCAGAGGACTTCCCGGGCATCGGCAAGAAGAGTGCGGACCTGGCACAGCAGTTGACGAAGGAGGAGATCGCATCCTTGTTCTCCAAGCTCAAATCCGAGCAGTGGAATCGCCCAGCTGTGGAGAGGGTCCTGGAGGTGTATCATATCTACAAGCGACAGTTGGCCCAGGAGAAGATGCTGGCTGCCCCCTACAACCGTGCTCGCCGAGGGGTTGGACACAGCAGCATGGGTCAGTTGGCTACCCTCATGTGCCCGAACTGTTTCTCCGATTGGCAACGGCAGGACAACAAGGTCGAGGGGAAGTGCAAGCTCTGCCAGAAGTCGGTCATTGCAGTGGACAAGGGCCCCCCCTCGGCTGAGATCAAGCTCGGCTCTTCTTCCTGGCGGATGTTTTGTGGCCCCAGAGGTGTCACGTGGCACACGGATGCTGATGAGGCCCAGAAGGAAGCTGCCTCCGTGGACATTGGCTCCTGGGCCCAGCCTCCCCCCAGGCCAACAGACCAGAAGGAGCTCAGCTTTGCCGACCAGGTGCCTATGGCCCTGAGGCTTAGCCTGGCTCACACGGTGGCAACCCAACCCTTTGACGAGGTGACGTTTGCCAACAAGGAGGCGGGAGAAAGACCCCACCTCAGAGACGATTGGCAGCCGAGCCAGGAGACAAGGGCTTTCCACCCGCAGCTGTCGGCCGCAATGGACATCACGAAGAAGAGCTCGGGCCCAGTCGACAAAGACGCCAAGAAGCCCACGGAGGAGGAGTTCCTGGACCACATCAACCCCCAGCTGGATGTGATCGTCGAGATGCAAGCGGGCGCCCAGAGTGTTGATGAGGCCAAGGGCGCGTCGATCCTTCGCCAGCTCGACACAGAGAAGCTTCGCTCCCTTCTGAAGCGAAACTACCTCCAGGGCCCCGGGAATCAGGGAGAGGAGTTTTTCTCTGCACAGACTACCTTGGAAGAGGCCAAGGCCTCTAACAAGCGCATGCAGGATGAGGGATCCCAGCGCTCCCAACTCCTCCGACCTGTGGCCGATTCTATCGATACCTGGGGTACCCAGTTGCGCGCGGCCCTCGAGATGAACGTTTTCAATCCGGAGAGCCCGCTCAAGGAGATGGAGCTTGACGACATTGAGGTCATGAAGGAAAGGTACATGAACACGAAATTCCTGCTAAATCAGAGCAGGAATCCCTTCCCTGCCTCCTTGCTGCAGGAGCTCCCCACCTTGGCTGCTTTGCAGCGTGAGGGCGAACGAGTCGCCCGGGACTCTGGCGAGGGGCTGTCGTCCACAGGTGCCTTTGGCCCTGAGGAGCAGTCCCCGGAGGCAGTTCTGGGAGTTCCAGTGGGCTCGGTCGAGTTCCAGATCCTGCTCCTCAAACGTATCATCGAGTTGCACATGGGGGAGCAGCGCATGATCGGGGGCAAATGGAAGCAGCTGCCTGGGACCCTCGAGGCCCCTACGTGGGCAAAGCCTCTCCCCGAGGGGGAAAAGCTCATGCTCGAGATGAGGACTCACCCCTGCTCCTTCCGACAGCCCTTCTTTGAGCCGATTGCCCTCACCATGGAGGAGATTGAGGCACAGGTTGCAATGGGCACGAGGCCCCCTTTGAACAAAATCATCGGCCCGTTCCATGCTGAGGGGGAAGGGAATACCCACTGGCAAAAGGAAGTGCAGACGTGGACTTGGTCAGCCTCTTCTCCTGCTTTGGCCACACCTACTCGGCCAGGCACCTTTATGCAGTTTGGAGCCACCTTCCGATCACTATCAGGGCCCACAAAAGAGGGGCCAAGAACAAGGAACAGAACCTTCAGCGACGAGCTGACCATCGCGAGTTGATGAAGGAGGCCAAAGAGTTTGTGATTCTGCATGACCTCCCGGTGCCTACGACGAACCAGGAGTGGAAGCAGCTCTACCGTGAAATCGCATCATTTTTCGCTGCCAAGGTCTTCATCAACCGCACGCCGCAGGTGGTCCTCGACCTCCCCGTAGCAGACATCCATGACTCCAAGCAGCACATGCGACTGCGAGCCGTATGTGATGAAAGGATCACCCTGCCGTTGAAGGCTTTCCGTGACTTCCCGGAGATCTACAACTCGCTCTCCCACTCTTTGGGGCAGGACTCGGTGGTGGAGGTCAAGATGGCGTGGCGCTGCAACACCGTGCAGTGGTGGACAGCCCGCCTCAAGCCGGAGTACGCTGGCCCCATCTACCGGAAGCTTGGCTACTCGGAGAGCCACATCAAAGGCCTCGGCTTGGGGAACATGGAGGCCTCAGCTGCCTTTGGCGCTGAAAGGATCCCTCTGGACCCCGGGTCGGAGCAGGAGCGCTCCCTCCCGCCCATCACTCCAGACAACGTTTCGAGTGTGGCCTCGGACGACTACAAGAAGAAGAACGTGGGGGACAAGACTGCCCACGTGTTTTGGGCCAAGATGGAGTGCGGCCTAGTCCTCAGCTCCGTTTCCCCGTGGGAAATTGTTGACAAGAAGAAGGGTGAGACTCGTGGGGGCTACGTTTGCCGCCACTGCAAAGGATTCTGGCGAAGTGGCAGAGGGGCCAGCCGTTTCCTTCTCATCACGGGAGAGCACAAAGGGAAGTCGGCCCAGCTCCAGCTCATCCTGGACGAGCCCCCCCAGCACCTCTACGAGGCCTGGGTGAAGGACCGGATCGAGTTTTACAAGAGGGTGGAGCCCACGGCGGCCCCTCGCGATCGCTCCCTCCGTGTCAACCCCAGCCTCAGCTCCAGGCTCCGGTTCAGCAAGACGAACCTCATGGGCCAGGTCTCCGACATGATCTGGTCGGTGGTGCTCTCCAACCCGGAACGGGATGGCCTCAAGAAGATCCATGAGCTTGCGGCTTCCCGGGTCCGCCCGGCCTGAGCTCTGCCCCTTTTTGAAGAAGGCACGTGGAGGGGAAACCCCTTCCAGGTGCCTATGGCCCTGAGGGGGGTTTCCTCTCCCTTCAGGTTCTGTTGCTTTCC